TTAATTGAATCACTGATAATCTCCAGGGAGAAACCCAGATAGCCATGTACGGTCCTGGATGTCCTTGTTAGCCAAAGAAAAGTGGGAATGAGGAAAAAGCTGGTTCTGCGACTCTTCTTAAAATAGCGTCCAAAACTGCATAGTAAAAATTTTTCTTAAGTTTTGATTGGAACTTGCCTTGAAAAATGAAACTAAAAATTGTGAAGATAAGTTTATATTATCCTCCATTTAACAGCTTTTGTAACATTGTGATTATAACTGTCAGGGGTATCTTCGACCCACAGCCAGCGCTCACTTGCTTTATTAGCGTCTGTAAAATACCAGTGCGTCCATTTCTGAAACAAAAGAAGGCACTGCGTGCTGGATGGGCAACGTGTGGAGGTGAGCATCCCTCCTGTGTCATAAAGTCGTATTTTCTTGGCTTTAGAGTTTGCCTTTTTTTAAGCACAGTCCCACAAAGGTCTTCTTTACAATGGTATGCTTTGCCCAAGGGCTCCCTGGATACCTTTATTTAAATCCTCATCTTCGGAAGCAGCTTACTGAGTTATCATCCGGGGGAATTTGTGGTTTCTCCAGCAGGTAACTGACCCATCGCTGCCAGATCCAGGCTTATCAGTTTTCCAACACGACGTTCATTGATTTCATGGAAGCCTAGGTCTTTTTCGGCAAGGGTGTAGTTTTATGCAATGGTACATTTGCCCTGGATGTGAATTGGGTGATCAGATGTCTACACTGGCTGGCAGGCAGGGACACAGGAGAGACAGCTCCTTCACTGGCCCGCGTTCCCGACGGCTAAGAGCAGGTAATCCTGCTTTTTACAACAGCGCTAAAGTCAGGTTCTCCAGGGACCTGGCAGGCACCAGAGGCAAGGAGAAGCCTGGTCCCTGGATCGCCCCCATATACCTCCTGGTGGGCACCAGGTGCCTGGTAGTGGTAAGACACAACCCCCAAAGCAGGGGGACAGCTGAGTTTTGTCACTTCTCCCAGACTCATTTTTTTTAAAGTTTCTCTGGGTCTCTCTGTGCCTACAGGATGCCCACCTGATGACCAGTGGGGTAAGTGGCTCCTTCCCAACCCTGGTATTTAAGGTTATACCTGGGCCTGATCTGAAACCAGAATAAAGGGGGTGCAGGTGCTTCTTCGAAGGCAAGAGCTCCCCTGATGGGGGAGCCATACAGGTTTTATAAGTGACAATTAAGAAAGTGTCCTAGTGTCCTCTTACCCTGTCCGGTTTGACTCAGTGGATAGAGCGTCGGCCTGCGGACTGAGGGGTCCCAGGTTCAATTCCAGTCAAGGGCACTAAACGAGGATCTTAGCAGTGAGTGTCGCCTCTCCCCACCTGGTAGCAAATTCCCAGTGCGTTCCCGTGGCTCTCATTCCCAAGCTGCGTCTGTAACGTGTATTCTCTGAGGTCAGATTCATCAGAGGCAGAACCTGAGATGGGGATTCCTGCCGGTGATTTATTGGGGTAATGCTCTTGGGAGAAGAGAAATAACGGGCAAAGGGTGGGGTGGAGGCAGGAGCCAAACGGGTCTGTACGCCTGGCCGGCCGGAGTCTGCCTGGCCAGTTCCCGCAGGGACTCTGGATCATGAGTTGCAGGACACAGCTGGTCCCACCTGGAGGCGGAGGGGCGGCCTTTTGCACCGTGTCAGTCATAGGCTGCAGAATGCTTGCGGGGGAGGGTGTCATATCCTCCCAGACAGAACCGTAGTCGGAGAGCAGGGCTTAGAATGAAAGAGCCTTTCGGTCAGGGCGGCTCCAGTAGCCACAGGGAGCTGGACTGGCGCTGACAGGTGGCAGGAGGGTGCTCCATAGTAACCAGCCTGGAACCTCATCCAGGGGCAGGAGCCAGCCGCTGAGCGCTCTCCTTCCTAGAGATGTCTTTGCTTTTCGCCCTTTCTGCTCATTGCCACCAAGATCCATCTAAAATTTTGTAATTTCTATTAGACTGCGAGGAAGAGAGACTTGGACTCGTACAGTCAATGCTGGTTTAAAGGGTATTTCCCGTGTTTTGGAATTAGCAGGAAGGAGGTCATTCAGCAGCTCTTGACTAATCCGGAGCCGCCTCAGGCAAAGCTAAGCAAACCGACGTCCCGTCGAGTTCCAGCATAAATGTCTGGAGGTGCAGTCACTCCTTCACACACACGTGCACACACTGAAGACGTCTTCGGGGCAGCACGTCGTCAAAAGCAGACAGGCCTTCGACTTATATTGAAAACCTCTCTCCTGGCGAGTGCTGGATTGTTACAGAAGGCGTCTGGAGGGGTTGAGTAATCACGTAATTTATATTTATGCCGGGACGCTCTTGAGAGTAATTACACCCAGATGACAGACATGAACCAGGACTGTCCCAGGGAAACCGAGAGCGAAGGTCACCCTTGGACTGGGCTTGCTGCCTCTGAGGCCCACAAGCCAATTTGCTGGAATTTAGAGTAACTTCCAGTTGGGCCCGTTGTGGGCACTGCTTCTGGGGTGAGGAGCATGAGGAAGAGGATGGTGGCCAGAGGCCACCCACAGGGAACCATCAGACCCGCCTTTGGGATATGCAGGTCTTGAGACAACATTTGAGAAATTACTGTCTGGTTTTTCTTATTGAAATTGCCAACACACGTCCCCTGGGTTCTGAGGGCAGCCCCTCGCACTGCCATGAAAATGTCTGCTTCTCTGCTGGGAGGACGTCCCCTTCTAGTCCCCGAGCTCTTCAAGTTCAGGGACTAACATCTGTCACGATCCTGGTAGCGGATCGGATGACTCAGCTCCCCAGGGCTGCTCAGGGCCCATTCTGAACCCTGCACCGTAACCATATTCTGTATGTGAACGCACCACCCCGAGTGTGTGGGGGCCAGGACGGGTGAAGAAAACCTTGGAGTAGGGCTGGGGAACAGCCTCCACAGAGTGTGAAAATGGTGCCGGCCGGGTCAGGGTGTTTGTAGATCATCAATGTAGGTGCTCCGTGGGGCAGGGGGACAGTGACAGGAATATGGGTCCAAATGGGTTTAAGCTCCATTCTGTTTGCAGTGGAGAGAGGCATGTTGTAAGAAGGCCCCTCGAGCAGCCAGTAGGATGGACCAACGAAAGGAGAGCCCGTGGCAGTGGCTCCCAGGCACCGTGCAGCAGGCTCACCCATGTTATCACTTAGCGTCCATGGAACATGCTTTTCCCAGGCCCCACCGTGTCGGAATCTGCTCAGTTGTCCACGCAGAGGCGACTGGGGTGCAGCCCGGGAATCTGTGGTTTTTAAATTGCTCCCAAGTCGCCGAAGCCGGTTTGGCTCAGTGGATAGATCGTCGGCCTGCAAACTCAAAGGTCCCGGGTTCGATTCCGGTCAAGGGCATGTACCTGGGTTGCGGGCACATCCACAGTGGGGAATGTGCGGGAGGCAGCTGGTCGATGTTTCTCTCTCATCGATGTTTCTGACTCTCTATCTCTCTCCCTTCCTCTCTCTGTAAAGTCAATGGAATATATTTAAAAAAAAAAAAATTGCTCCCAAGCGGATTCTAACGCACGGGGTCCCGAGTCCATGGGAGAAACGCTCACCAAGGTCCCTGAGAGCCATTAGAAAACGTATAATCCCTGACGTCGGTAACCCCCAAGATTGGATGCTAAAGAGAGTTGCCTTTGCTATTTCTATGTCTCCTGTTTTTCACTTCACTGTATTTTGGAGGGATTTTTGTTTTGTTGCTTTTTTTTTTTTTAGTAACGTTTTATTGCTGTTTAGCAAACAGACCAAATTACATAAATCATGAAGTGCCCAGCTCATCGAATTTCACAACGATCACACCCAGGAATACTCCCAGCACCCACGCAGCCCCTTCCACTTACTGCCTCCCCGGTTGCTATCTTGACTTCTAAGCCCATGGATTGGTTATCTTTTAGCATTTGTACTTTTTGTGTGTTTGGTAATGTTCCTGCTACGTAAGTATGGTAGTATATGTTTATAATTTACAACTGAATAGGTCTGTTATAGTAAGTGCTCACTTTTCCCCCCTGATTGGACACAACAGGAAATGTTGGGTGTACTTGTCTAAAGGCCTGGAACAGCTGGTCTGAGCTGAGGAGGGGGGTCTGGGAAACGGGAGCAGGAAGCAAGGGCATTTCAGAGCTGGATCCACAGCGATTGGTTCCTTTTGTCTGCCATTGTGTGGAACAGGGAAGGAGACAGGTTTTAGCATGACCTTGGGGAGGACACACGGCCCCATTGAACTTCAGTGTCCTGGCTTCTGGACCCTCAGCAAGTGCTAGTTCTGCCCTGTGTCTCCCCTTCTCCAAAATCTGCAAACATACCAACTCCCCTTGGAAGTCCTGATTTGCTGCAGTGACCAGGAGAAGCAGGGAGGGTATAAAGAGCCTCCAGGCTTTCCTCTGGCCTTGGTTGGAAACCATGTGTTCTGATGGGAAAAGCGGCTCTCGGTGCCCCTCCCCTGGTTCTCCGGCCATCACATGAAGAGTCCACGGCGGTTGGGCTAACCTGTCCTTGCCCTTGACCCACCCCGGGGAAGCTTGGAGGGGAGCAGGTCAGCCCTCCTCACTTCTCTGGCTGTCGAAAGAATCCCTGTATTTTCGTGGGTGTCATTTTCTTAGAGTTTGACTTTCCTACACCAGCAAGGTCTTGAAAGGCGGGATTAGGGTGTGGGCTTAGGAGAAAAGGGCCAGAAAGACAACGGGGCTGCCTTTTCATCCAAAGCAGAGGAGGTGTCCAGCTCACATGTGGCCCCATCCCGTGTCCCAGGAGAGCACGGGGGTTCAGAGCCCATGTGTTAGCGGAGAGTGAAGAGTGGTTCTGTCCCCTGCACCTGTCTTCCCAGGGAACCAACGGAAGGGTGGGCACCTGGGACTCGTGCTGGTCAGCGGCTCCTCGTCTCCCCACAGCCCACAATGGCTATTGTCTGGGAACTAAAGATGGACCGTGTCTGCCGAAGTCTCCATCTCCCTCCCCGAGGCCATGTCCACATCTGTCTTGTGCAGCCAGCCCATCTGTTGGTGTTTTTCTCTCTTTCAGGAGGAAATGGGCATTTCCTGTGAACTGCTGGAATCGGACTTCCTCAAATGCAGCGTGGGATTCCCTTTCATGAGGTCCAAGTCGAAGGTAAGGGGTGGAGTGGGGCACTTCCTTGGGAGCAGCCCCCCAGACCCTCCCACCAGCCCCTGACTCCGCCAGCTGCCTCCTCCGGGGTTTCCTCCTGCAGGAGCTGGGGTATGGTAACCCTCTTGTTCATGGCAGTCTACTCCAGAGGGGCCATGGTCACGTGGTCTTTCTCTTTGACCCACATGATATGTCCCAAATGTGAGAGACACAGCATGGTCTTAGCAATTTGGCAGGCAGCATCTGGTTGGTCTCCTTGAAATGATTTTTTTTCTGGGACATTGCACATCACTTTGAGTCCCAGAGGCAACATAGACGATGTGGGTGGTCTGGCCTAGTGACCCACAGTCCTGACCCCCCTGGGCCCTCACAGTTTTCTTAAGAGACTTCTTAAAATGCTTAAAACATAAATAATTGTATTGCACTTCACTTTTTTAAGTAAAAGAAATGACAGCCATTTAGATGTTTATAAGGAGCCGCATTTTCTAAGCTCAAGCAATACCATGGCACAACATATTCAGACACTCACGGGGCATTCTCACATGTGCCATCATTATAAGGAGATGCAGAGAGGCGTACGTAGAAGATGTGATTTTTGGACACAAAACTAGAATCTAAAAGACAAGGCCTCCCTTGTGAAATGGAAGCTGTATTTACTGCTGTGATTTGAAGAAAAGGTCATCTTCCTTCATCTACCTTTCCCCTCCTAGAATAAATGAAAGCTTGACCCTTCTCTCCTACCTATGTCATAGAATCAAATCATTTTAATTCCTAAGACTTTCTGGCCCCAGTACATGGTAGCTGTTTAGTAAACCAATTTTGGAAATGTTCTAGTGAGAAAGAAGCTTATTTCTTGAAAATCATTGAACCCATCGGCCTCATTGAAAGAACCTGCTCCAAAAGTCTGTAGCTCTTACCAATACATCCGTGATTGCTGAGCCTTTTTCTGGTTCTCTTTCCCAGCTGCCCACATGCATCCCAGGAGGAGGGAAATGTGAAGGTGGCTGGACTTAGAAAAGGGGTTACTAGTAGCTGGAAGAATAGAGGCCAGGTTCTGTTAGACTCCAGGTCGGATGAGGAAGGATTACCCTGAACCGTGGAAATCAATATAATGGCCCAATGTCTGAGAGTAATGTATGTGGCACATCACTCACAAATTTAATGGAAATTAAATCTATTGAGCAATAGAAAATAGACAATTGAAAGATTCTTCACAGTTGCCATTGTACTATGAAATTCAGTCTACGTCCCACATCAAACCTAAGGTGTGCCTTCCTAATTTTAGTCTAAAGATTACTTTTAAAGGAGAATTGATATCTCTGTCCCATGTAGACCCAGGATCACTTGCCATAAAAAGAAGGTCATCATAAAAATGCAACCAAGGAGCTATGGAGATCTGGGGCATTACACTTTGTCAAAATTCATTAATTTTCAAAATAGTCATGAAACCAACAGAAGTATGAACGTTGGAATATTGACTTTTTTCCCTACGTGGGGATGCACTGCCGTCCTCCCACATACAGAGGTTAAGACCTGTGGCAAGGGTAAACATAGAGTCAGGGATCTGGGGGAAATTCCCTGGAAAAACCTCAAGAAGTGACTTGGCAGGGACACGGGCTCCCTCTGTCCACAGCCTGGCTTGCCCTTCCTGATCCCCCAGACCCTGTGGTCACTGGGCCCCAGACCACCAGCCAAGCATCATGACTGCACGGCTGGCTTACTCTCCCTAGCTGGGTCTCTGACCTTCTGTTCTTCCAGGCCTCTGTCTCTGATTTTGGCTTCTTGCCCAGCTCTTTCGCTTCTCGCCTCACCTTAATGTCCAGCGTGTTCACATCTCCTGCCAGTTCTGACTCTTTGCTGGGACAAGACCCTTGACTTTCCTTCCTTTGTGTCATCCAGCTTTGCTTCCTGTCCTGACCCCTGTCAGCTGACAAGTCCCACGGGAACAGAAACATCTGTCCAGATAGGGATGCTCAGTGGCCACTGTAGATGATGGTCCCATGTAACGGTCCAAGGCCCGGTCCTTTCAGGCGGCATTCAGTTCAGTAGATCCCAGTCTTGCAACGTTAGACTATAGCCTAGAATTAGTCATCAAGGAATCTAACCATTTAGTTACTAAATAAGTCATAGACTCTCAGAGCGTAAAGGAATGTAAGAATCTTTTTATTGAAATGCAAATAGGTTAAGTGTCTTGGTGATGATCACATGGTCAGTTTGTGATAGAGCCTGGTTCTCTAACCCCAACCCAAGGGTTCCTCTCACATTCCTATGCATGCCTGATATACACATATGTGTGTGCGTGCATGTGTATAATGTATGAGCGTGTGCGTGTGCGTGTGTGTGTGTGTATATATATATATATATAGTAAAGAACATGTGCTTAGGGCAGTGTTCCCCAAATCACAGGATGCTCACCACTGGAGGTACCCGAGATGATTTTAGGTGATATATGGACACAGCACTAAACAACATTGAGTCTTACAGTGAGAAAGTTATTACCTTTTCAATGCTTTTTCAATTCTGACCACATCCAGGATAAGGTCTACAACAGTATAATATACCTTTATCGCCTCACTATCACTTGTTTATCTCCCTCTTACCAAAATAGAATAGACCTTAGCCTCAGAGTCTTCGGCAGGCAACAAGAGTCAGCATGGCTTTGTGTCCATTATACCTGTTTGATGATGTCTGCTGAGTGACAGACATCTTTTTATGCCAAGTGATCTTGGATTCCAGTCTGTGATCATGGTATACATTGTCCTTGTAAAATAGTCTTTAGACAAAGTGACTGAGGCAATAAAAATATTAAGTAAAGCCAAAACCGGTTTGGCTCAGTGGACAGAGCATCGGCCTGCGGACTGAAAGGTCCCAGGTTCGATTCCGGTCAAGGGCATGTACGTTGGTTGCGGGCACATCCCCAGTGGGAGATGTGCAGGAGGCAGTTGATCGATGTTTCTCTCTCATTGATGTTTCTAACTATCTCTCTCCCTTCCTCTCTGTAAAAAAAATCAATAAAATATATTTTTTTAAAAATATATTAAGTAAATATCACAGGTGATAGGGTATGCAGATGTAGCCAAAAATTGGGAACGTGGTGTGTGAGTGAAATTTAGAAAGTCCTGGTTTAAGAGACAAACATATCACTTCCTAAAGAGAATCTCAATTGTTGAAAAAGACCATGTGCCTCTTGGCGGGTGGCTTTTATTGTTAAAGCTGTGTCTCAGAACTGACGATCAAAAAGAGATGCATACAACCCTGGCCAGTGTGACTCAGTTGGTTGGATCGATGTTTGATGTTTCCATCTCTCTCTCCCTCTCCTTCCCTTTCTCTCTAAAATAAATAAAAACATTAGTAAACTATATATGCATGCAAATAAAGCTTGAGTTTCCAGGGGCCATAAGTGGGGAAAGTTGTAGCTAACAGTTCAATTTGGAATGCCTGCTGATGCCAAACGTCTCTCTTCTAGTATGAATTCAGCGTCATCTTTGATACGAGCCATCTGTCTGGAGAAGAAGAAGTTCTCATCTTCATCATTACTGCTCAGAGGTAAGAGGGATTTCAACTTGGTTTCCCAAAGGTAAGTACTGCTGGAACCCGAAAAGACGAAGTTCTGTCCATGCTGCCATGATGCCCAGGATGCTGAGGAGGAGGAGGAAATGGTTATGCCGTGATAAAGCCCCAAAGCGCTGGTGGAACCAGATCTGGGGAGGGGGAAGGAAGGGGGGTTCTTATCTAGTTCTGCTTGCACAGCTTCCCCGTCTCTCGTTCCCTGTCCTTGGAGGACATCTAGGAGGGTCCTATGCATGCTCAGGTCACTCTTGGGTGATGCAAAGTCCTGCCGTCCGTCCTTCAGGTCTCCAAGCAAGTTCCCAAATCCATGACAACAGTGTGGAGGGAAATTTGCCTTGGGGGCGCCATCTTGCTCTTACTGGCCCTCTCCCCTTTTCCTGGGCAGCTTCTGAGCCCTCCAGGCTCACAGCAGGGCTTGTGGGACAGGCAAGGCCTAGGGTAACAGGTGCTGTGAGCGCTCACTGGGCTCTGCAGGTGTTCAGAGCTGACTCTTACCCTTTGGAAAAGGGAAAACCCAGCCCAACCTCAGCCTATAGGCGGCCAGAGATACCTCCGCTTCTGCTGCTGAGTCTGCCCTCTGGGACGCCTTTTCACTCGGCAGATGTCTATCAAGCAAATGTTTACCAAATATTAAGCTACTGTTTACCACATACAGCGCTAACAACTTACTAAATTCAAGAACACCTCCTTCTGTATAGCATGGGGAGACCCCCTAGCATCGGCAGCTTAACTATTAAAGATCAGATCTCCTAATTCTTTGAATCACAACTGTTAAGGAAGCTGTATTATCTGTTGCATACACAGCTGAATATTTCCAGACTTTGGTGCCAATCTGGTCTCACTGCCCCTGAGGGCACCCACAGCCCTCCACTTCCTGCCCTGGCGGAAAACTCCTTAAAGCTCCTTATCTTGAAAGCTAGGATCCCGCCTTCTTCCCGTCACCACCCTTTGAAGGTCTCTTGCCCACGTGTGGATTCAGGAGGACACAATGTTGAGAGTAAACAGTTTCTCAAGAGCTCCCCTCTCAGCAGCCGCGCTTTGCCGGCCGCGGGGAAGCGTCCCAAGTCACGCGCTTGCAGGATGACTGGAAGCCTTTTGATGTCTGGCCTCTTTATCTCAACTTGTCAACTTAGCTCGTCTGGAGCAGGCCCCTGATGACAGACGACACTGCTGGGCCGGAGCTGCCAACGGCCACAGGTGGCTGGACAAATGGCAGGGCAAGGGGTGGTGCTTCCAGCAGGAACTGATTCCGCGGACCTGGCAGGATGCTGGGGGAGGAAAGGCAGACCCGGGGTTGCCACCCCGTCCGTGTGCGTGCGGGCCTCCTCTCTGGTCTGCCCATAGCAGTGACCCTCCGGCTTTCGTTGCCCTGGGAAGGAAGGGCAAGGAAGTGAGGCACCTGCTGCTTTTGCAAAGGGTGGCGGTTGCCCTCTGAGCGATGGGTGTCACCCCATAGGCGGAAGACAGATGAGGAGTCTGGGGTCAGGGTCGGGAGCGTCATTGTTTCAGAACAATAGGGGAGAGAGGGAGGGGGATGTGAGCGCTATTTAAGTAGTGTTGCATTCAGCACTTGCTGGGTGGGAGAGGAAGGCAGTGGGGGAGCGGGAAGGCGGGGGAGGGGGAGGGGAGGCGAGAACTCTGCACATGGGCAGGGAACAGTGTGATGGGAGAGGTGCACGAACCTCAGCGGGTCTGGGAGACTCATGTCCACCCTGGAGGGTGAACTTGCTGGCTGCCAGAGCCCCATATTCACGCCATGTGTTAGAAACAACCGTAAGTGCCGGGCCCAGCGACATGCACCCAACAGCCATGCCTTTGACCAAGGCGGTCACTTCCCTGCAATAATCATCACGATTCATATTTGAGATTTACTTAAATAGTAAAGGGGAGCTAGGTCTTCTCTCGTCTTTTCCTCCTCTTCCTTCTTCCCCTTCCTTCAGGGCAAACCAGCCAGCCCCACCCATGCACCAGGCCTCAATTCTATATAGTAAAAGGGTAATATGCCTCCCAGCACTGGTAACCTGGTTTGCTATGGTTCCCTGGGGCCCGTTACCCAGTCTCTCTGCTCCTTACCTGTCCCAGGTGGGGAGTCCCTGGCACGGCAGCCACACAGCTGCTGCTCCCTTGCTTTTGCCTTTCCAGGATGACCTCACAAGAATCCTAGTCCCGTGCTTTCTCACCCCAAAGGGGATGCCTGTCTATGGACACCCTGTAGCCTCAAGCCCACAGCGGGAGCTCCCAGACCATTGCTGGTGACGGGGTTGGTCTGGGCCCCTCTCTGGGGCTTACCTGTCCCTGGAAAAAGGGCGCCGCCTCTAGGTGGGAAATGGCTGTGAAGTCAGGCACGTTCCTTCCTGGCTGCGGTGCCCTAACCTTGCTGGTCCGCTATTCCTGGAACAAGCACCCATACAGTACTCACACTGCCGGTGCCCATCCATACCCCTTGGCACTCACCTGCTCCCAGCACCCACCACCTGCCTGAGGCTTCCCCTGTCCGGAGCCCACTCACCTGTGTGCACAGGGGGGTGCCAGGGAGTTGATCGCCCCACTCCCCCGCCCCCAGCAGCAGCCAGTCTCAGGAGTCAGTGCAGGACCAGGGCCCAGCTCCCTGCCCTCTGCTGGAAAGACTGCCTCCCGGAGTTCCCCAGCCAGACCCACAGCCCTCACCTCCTGGGTCACATGCCTTCATTGTCTTCCTCCCCTGCCTTGTCTCTCTTCTCCACTCACGTTTCCCGGGGTCCGCTCCCCACATCTTTGTGAGGGGAACACAACCAAGACAATAGGGTGCCCTGTGGCTCTGTACAGGGCCCAGAAACAGAGCTGAGGACACGTCAGGTGCAGAGCGGCCCTGGGGGGATGTAGCTTGAGCTCTGCCACGGAGCACAGGAGGCGGCTGCCCGAGGCCCGGTGCTGACCACGTCCACTCTGCTCTTCCTGCACAGCGGCAACACGGAGCGCTCCGAGTCCCTGCACGACAACACCCTCACACTGATGGTGCCGCTGGTGCACGAAGTGGACACGTCCATCACCGGGTGAGTAGCCCAGGCCTGGGTGGCCACATCACAAGGTGCTCTGCAGGGGACACTGTGCCTGTCTTGAATTTGCACCTGTAGCCTGGAGTCAGTGGCCCCGCCACCTCCAGTCTCCCCGCTCTGAAATACAGGGTGAAGGCTCAGCTCCCTCCCTCATTTTCTTTTTTTTTACCCATCCAGCCGGTAGGTAACGCAAGAAGCTTGACGACGAGTTTAAGGCCCTTCATTTCTTTGAACGTCCTGTCCACCTCTTTATGCAAGTATCCCAGCATCCACCCCTCCAGAGTGCCTTGTGGTAGCAGGCAGCGTGGTTCCTGGGACTCACATCTCAGCCAGCGGCTGTGGGGCCAGCCAGAGGCTGCAGCCAGCGCTGTCCCAATGCCTGGCTAGCTTGCAGTAGTGCTGGCTTTGTGTCTCTGTTAGCCCCTCGTGCAGAGCCGGCAGCTCTGCCCAATGTCTGCTGGTCTGGAGTGGGCAGGGGACCCTCAGGATGGGCCCACCCCCCTGGCGGGGGAAGGCCATGCCATCTGTGTGTTGCTGGCCTTGCTGGAAAGCAGGCCTGCGGCCCCAAAACTGCCCTGTCAGTTACCAGCCAAAGCCCAGGCCTGGGAAAGTGAGAACCCAGTTCCTGCTTCAGGCTCCAGGTAACAGAGCACATAACCTCATGGATGGTGGGGAAAGCATTTGCATAATCCGCTTGGATCAAATGAGGATCCATGGAACTTTGCCCCGAATGCAAGCTGACCTTCTGGGGGTTCAGAGTTTCTCTTTTTTCAGTTTTCAAGTGCTCTGGGCCCCGGTGGCCAGCAGTAGAAACGCGAATGCACCGCAGAAGGAGCCATCATTGCCATAGCGCACGCGGCCGGGTGCCCGGGAAGGGGCAGGCCCACGCCCCTGGCATGCTTCATCACGGGCTTCAGGCTTGAGGCACTGGTGGAACATATTTGCTCATTAGCATGTAGATTTGCCTTTGTTCACGGCTGTTTTTAACCATGTAGTTTATTTACTTTTTCGTCAGAGGCACAGTGAGAATGTGCCCTGAACCCAGCCCTGTCCCCGGGGACCACAGAGAAAACACTGGCTCCCTTGATCCTGTTGTCTGATCCTGCTGTCGGGCCCTGGGCGGCCTCACCGCGAGGTACAAACAGCCTCAGAGGAAGCCATCGGTTAAACACATGGGTCAACCTCTGATCCCTCCAGGACCACAAAACAGGGCAGCACAGGAACCAGTCCTGCCATTTGATAATACATTTCTAAAGGAATGCGATTAAATTGAAAATTGATGCATTGCTGTCCATTCAGACTTGGTACCCAAATCTTACCTTGTTGGTGTTTAGGCCAGTGAGCAGCTTCTAGAATCTCATCTAGAACCCATTATTGGTCCGGAAATTTGAGTGACTCTAGGCTTCGTCTCATCTCAGACGTGTTGATACGGGCAGCGTGGGAAGCGTGCTGCAAACTGAGCTTGCACGCTTCATCACATCTCACACAGCCCCTGCGAGAAACCTGAAGAAAAATGCTGCCATCTATCAGCCTCCACTTTCAAGGCCGAATTTCTGATCATTTTGAATAGTTTGACAAATTTACATTTTTAAATGAATCTGTCACCGGGTGGACTTTAGGATGCCAAATCTATAATTCATTTACGTTTATTTCCTAAAAGCTTGCCGTGATCTTTCTCACTTTACAGGAAGTTTTTCAGGGACAAAACAGAACATGGGTAATTTTGTAATCCAGTTGTTGTTTCTTTAAACCTGAAGTCAAAGCTACCAGAGCCTTCCTTGTCATTTTAGAAATATAATCCAGGACATAGTTACATATGCAGCTTGTTGATTTGACCTACAGTGAGAAGTCACTGTTGGAAACATCTGCTTAGAAAGCATACGTCTGGCCATGTCTGTGAACGGGAGAGAGAAGTGCCAAGTCCAGAAGGAGAGCAATTGCTGGAAGGCACCGGGGACAGCCAGGTTCCCGAGCCAGATGGCTGGGTTCTCAGGACAGGGGTGACCTTGGGCGGCGTGACCACGGGCTGGGATGATGGATGTCGTGGTTTCCTCTTTCAGAATCGTGTCTCCAACCTCCTTTGTGTACGGCGAGTCTGTGGCCGCGGACAACTTCATTCAGCTGGAGGACCTGCCGTGTCACTTCCAGCCCCTCAACGTCACCCTTCAGGTACCCACCCTTGCAGACCGGCTCTGTCACGGGGACCCACGGGAGGGCCCCTGGGATGCATCCGCCGACAGGCAACTTGAGGGCCAGGCTATTTCCAGGAGACACCGTTCCCAGTCTGGTGGGCTGGAGTGTGGCGTATGTGCGTTACGTGTGTTCTGCGAGCTCACACAGAATTCCTGCCTTCCCTGGCTGGTGCTCTGCTGTGTAGACCCCCTTGATTTTCAACACTTGGAGGAAAAAGTCCATGCGACCACCAGAAGGCCTCCTGGTGCTGAGGCCCAGGCCGGCATCCCGGCCCAAATGGCCGCAAAGGACCCTTCCAGTTCTCCATCAGCCTCCCATACGGGCAGGGCAGCCTCGAGGATTTGCCACGTCCGCTTCCTCCTGGGTTCTCAGAGCCACTCGCTGTGGACTGGCCATCCAAGGGACAGCGTTCCTTCTCTAAGCCAGGGGTGGGCAGACTTTCTGAAAAGGGCTGGAGGGCGAGTATGTAAGGCTGGGCAGGCCATGCCATCTCTGGGGCAACTATTCAACTCCTGTAGCGCAAAAGCAGCCCCGGCCGACCCAGACACAAAACCGTGGTGATGGACACTGAAATTGGAATTTTACGTCATTTTCATGTGTCATAAAATGTTACTTTTTTTTATACTCCCCCTCCCCACAGTCATTTAAAAATGTAAAACCATTCTTAGCTCCTGGGCTGTATGGAGACAGGTGGCAGGCAAGCTGGGGCCTGCAGGCCACAGAGTGCGCACCTGCTCTAAGGCACAGGTCCTCAGGCCAGCCCTGTTCCACATGAGACTCTGACTATAAAGCCAGAGGGGCCCCAGCATCATCTAGTCCGTTCTCCTCCATTGATGAACACAGGGACACGTAGGCCCGGCTGCAGGGCCCAGAGCTGGGAGAGGTGGGGCTGAGGCCAGGACAGGCCGGGCATTGAGCAGACACCCCACTTGGCCCAGAGCTGTCCCCTGCCTCCTCTACGTCCTTCCCCATGGAGAAGGTAGTTTCCTGATCTGGCACTCATTCCTGTGGTCAAATAAATTTTATTTTATTTACCCGTGGCTACTCATAGATGGACCAAGGGAATGACAAATAGTGATGGGGTGAGGGTCCAGAGAACGAGGCAGTAAAACATTTGTGGGGGCTCACAAATGATGGGCTTCCTCTCCCCAAAATGTTCTCCCAGACGAGAGACCTCAGCAGCCAGGATGGACAGCAATGGCCCCAGCTCAGAGAGGGTGCGCCTCCGCCTCCGGGCCAGCCGGGCCCAGCTGTCGCTCCCCAGGCCTGATCTGTAGGGAGCGGGGTGGGGTCAGACCTGCTTCTGAGACCTTAGAGCAATTGCTGTGAACAGGACCTCTCTTTCCAACTTGCTGCTCAGAATTCATTTATTTTTCTCCACTGGTTTTGTAGTTGGACAGGGAAAAAACAAACAGATAAAGGCCAGAGGGAGTTATTTCATTTTCCTTAAGTCACTTTCATTTTAATTACTTACCTACTCCTAAAATTCTTAGGTGTCCTGCAATAAAAGACACAGTCAAGAAAATAATTTAAAAGGGTTCACGCTCTGGCCGGTTTGGCTCATGTGGATAGAATATCCACCTGCAGACCAAAAGGTCTCGGGTTCGATTCCAGTCAAGGGCATGTACCTTGGTTGTCGTCTCCTCCCAGGCCCGGGCCCTAGTCAGGGCTCATGCAGGAGGCAACCGATCGATGTGTCTCTCTCACATCGATGTTTCTCTCTGTCTTTCCCTCTCTCTTCCACTCTCCTTAAAAATCAATGGAAAAATATCCTCGGGTGAAGATTAACGAAAAATAAAGATGTAAAAAGGGTTCGCATGGCACATGCCGTGGAATGTAGAGGAGAAAGCATTAAGGAACAGCAGTTACACAAAATATACAAAAATATTATCATCCTCTTAAAAAAAAAATCTGAGGGCATGTGGTTGAGTCATGTTTCTCTGAAGGCATTCTCTGAAGGGAGCTTAAGGTTTCGTATTTCTAGACATCCGACCTGACTTAGGAGACGAGCTAGAGAACGGGGCCACTGGAGGAGTGATGGACATGCCCTTAGATAAACCTCGCGATTCCCAGTTGCCGGAGGAAGAATAGGCCATTCCGTGAGGATTAGGGGAGCTGGCGGGGACTGTAAGAGGGGGGTGCGTGTGTCATTGATCAGGAGGTTCTCTTGTGTTAGCTAAGCCGACAGATTCCTTGGGCATTCTCTCACGGCCCATTTTCCGGTGTAATTGTCATTATTGTGACCATCTGCAGGAAGGCCACCGGCCACATTGATGGCGCTGATGACCAAGAGGGGGAAGTAACGGGGGAGGATGGGGTCAGGAGTGTGGACAAATCGCTTCTCTTTCCTTATTCCGGCGACATCACTCCTGCGGGAGAACACCAGACTTTTTTTTTTTAAGACTTTTTAGATAAAGAGATGTTGCCATGCCTTTTAAAAGCTATTGTTCAATAAGCTATGTAATTGATTAAAGACTCCACTGCAAATGCAAATGGAAGAAAAGCAGGCGTACTAGTCTTAGGACTGGATCCTACATTTCACCAGGGATTTCAATTTGTTGACCAATGATAGGCTTTTTTTCTGTGTGTGTGTGTGTGTGTGTGTGTGTGTGTGTGTGTGTGTGTGTTTAAATCAAGAGTCGATTGATTCCCTTACCTGAAAAATTATGGAAAATAATGCAGATGCTGCACAGAGCATTTGCAGAGAATGAAATGTGAAAATTTGTTAAAAATGAATGGATGTGGCAATGCAAGCTACTCACCTCTATCTGGGGTCTCCCAGACAGGCCAGTGGGTTTCCTCTCCATTCTGTGTCTCATGTTTCACTTCAGATCAGTTATTTCAGTTGTGATTGGATATCCCCCTCCTTTTCTTGTGTCTTAGGGTTGTTGTTCTTGGTGAATTTTGTTCCTTTTGAATCAAGAGTTGGCAGTAACAGCTCATCTGCTCTATCATTTTCTTTTTATTTGTTCTTTGAAGTAGA